GCCTGTGAAACAAGAAATAAACAACTGTGATTGGAAAACAGTGCAAAAAGTAATAGAAAAAATCAATAAAAACATACATAACATGTGAGATCAATGATTTGATCAAATAATTATGAAATGAAGAAAAGAATAAAGAAGAGAATATGCAAGGCAAGGACAATAACCTCAGTAATAGGAGTATCAAGAACCCTCTCAGGTCCATACTTTTCCAAAAAACCCTTGGATATCTAAAAGAGAGATAAAAGGCAATCCTCAGATAGATGTAACAAATTAACAATGCTTCTATTGCCTTTAATATACATGGAAAAATAGAAAATTTATATTAACGCTAACCTTGTATGCACCCTGATATTCTCCGACCTGCATTTAAAAAAAGAAGAATAAGCAAAGCAAGACCATAAAAACAAAAGGAACGCCCAAGGTTAGGATTATTAAAAGAAGTTCCACTTAATAGTTTCTGACCTCTTCACCCATCAAAAAGACTTTCGGATCAGCTGACATCTCCTCATCGAGAGCAGAGTTTAATGCCCCTCTCACTGTCATCCGTGCATATTTTTCACTACGCACCCCAAATAAAGAAAATCAAATCCATATTTAGGAAAGCTAAGCCTTGTCTTTTAGCATAGACTAATATTCACAAAAACCCCTTTATCATTAACAGAAAGAAAAGCAAACTTACATATACACACAACTACAAGCATAGGCATAGTCATATATGTGTGCATGTGCAAGCTTATATGAAATGCAGATCACAGTTTTGATTTTATGAACTGAAGCAAGTCTACAGCAGTTCATAAGATAAAACACAGCTACCCTATAGCATACGAGGTAACTCTTGCAGTGTGCAATATGATATCTAACAGCAGCAAATCAGCAATGAAATAAGAGGTGAAAAGAATCACCTGTTTTGCTGATGATGAGTAGCTTCTCAGCACCGACACTGCGGGACGAATCTGAGGCAATGACTGCCTCAACATTGGTTCGAGTAAAAATGCTTTGCTGACTCACCAACTGAGGATTTTCTATTCTAAAATCAGAAACTTCATTACTAACAAATGATTCAGATCAAAATAAACAACTATATTTATACAAATACAGAAATATAAATCAGAAATTAAAGGCTGGTTAGTGAGAACCAAATCAGATCCAGAACATAGATGCTCCCCAGACCTGATGATGCAGTGGCAAGGAGATGGCCAAAATTGAAAAAAAAAACAAAAGGGAGGGAAGAGCACCACAGCTCAACTAACACATCCACTATGTTAAAACAAATATCAAAATTTTTATTATTGTCCTTTCTTTCCTTCCTTTCTTTCTTTATTTATTTACTTTTTGAACAACTTTTTCTTTAATATAAAAATCTGAACATTCCGCAGCAAGATCTAGTACAGCGGTCAATTTTATTTTAAGGGTCGGGATCGAAGCTTTGGTAAGCTAGGACAACAATCGACGGTTAGTTGTTAACGAGAGGAAAGATTGAATATATGTTTTTTTTTTCTTGGCTTCATTAATATTTGTGGTAAATTATCTTGTAGGTCACTAGATTACGAGATCAATTCTATTTTAACTATTCAATAACAATAATATCAATTAGATCATTAAACTCTTATTTTGATTTTAATCAAATCATCGACCGTCTGATTAGTCGTAAATGAATATTGAATTTAGTGTTTTAAAAAATACTTGCATCAAAACAATTTAAGCTAAATATGATATTTGGTAACTTTAAAAAGATATTTAATTTAATGATTAAGCGTTATGCTTACATATAAATCTTAGGATTAAATCTCCTTAACACTATTTTGATCTTAGAAGATATATAACATTAACTAAATTTTAACATATATATTGTATTTGATTAAATGATTAAGTCTGTCTATAATCTTAATATCCATCTTTGATTTTCTCCAATCTTATTCTTATTTTCTTTAATTTAAGATGGTATCATGTCATTATTTTTGTTAAAATTTAGTGACCTCCAGAATAATTTACCCTAATATTTAAGGGAAATTTGTGAAGAATAGTGGGGGTTAGGAGGATGCTCGGCTGAGAAGGGTTGGTGGGACAAAATTTGGAGCAGAATGAACAGTGACACTTCAAGTTGAAGTTTCATAGCCCAATATGTATTTTGCTTTTATTTATGTATAAATTACCATTAAAAAGGGCACACAAGGAAACTAATTTCATTTTTATTTTTTGCTACCGAAATCTATACCAATAATTGGTGGGATTTTTAATAAAATTACTTATGCTCCATTGTTTGGATCAAGGAATTGATGTTCGGGTAGAGAGTAGAGTGATCTTCACTATCCTGCAAGTGCAAACAAACCAACTTGAGCATACTATAGTAAAATACCAGTAGACATGTAACACAGAAACTTTAACAAAACCATCACATCATTTGAATTGAAGATCCAAGGTCAGTGCCGAACTTTTAACATTTTCCAAGTATGGAATATGAAATTTTAGACGCTCACAGCGTGGCACTATCACCGCTTTTCAAATGACAAGTTTTGATGGTACCACGCAGTCATGCGCCCCAAACACCACACTCTTCCGTAAACTCGCACCAGCTGCTTCCTTTTTCTGTGTATGCTACAAGGTTGGGGATCGCTCTATTTATATATAGCAAATCCCATTCAAGAAGCTGAGAGTAAATGATATGATAAAATAAAGGTAAAGGACTAGAGACACGTTCCCAAAATGTTACCGACAGGTGTCGTGCTGCGGAGGCATTAGGCTTCCTAAATGTCGTGGGTAAAAAGGGACTCTATTATGTCTGTTTGTTGGTAATTTAGACAGGTAGCGCTTCTCTGCTGCTACTGCTCCAGTCTGGGACAATTGCATAAATCCACTCCCTTCTTACACCTGGAATTTGGATAAGGGAAAGCTATTGAAACTAGGTTTGTACACAGCAGAGTTAAGCACACACTGACGCCTGGTGAATAAGAGTGTCAAAATTTAATTGGTAGAAAGGGTTCACTTAAGGAAGGGCGGCATGCCGTTTGCATGCTTAAAATGTAGCAGCCCCGTAATGCTTGTTTAGGCTATTGACAATGACACATCATAATAATCTGTCTAACAACTGTATCAGTCACACCTCAGGTTCAAGATTGAAAGAGAGGATCTAGAGTCATCTTTTCTATGTATCTCTTCTATCTTTTCATAGAGACAGAACTCAAATTCGTTCATTATTTGTGACTTTTTTTTTAAATAAAAAAATGAACTTTCTATAGTCATCGTGGCTATTCGTTTTCACCAACAAAATTGATTTATGATTGAATTGAATTTGATGATGATGGACTACCCTTGCAGATTTGTACATCCATATTGGCAACAAACATATCAATTTAGAGGGAGAGTCCCCACCCTAAGTTTAGAGGATTGATGGGATCTCATGTCTTTTAAATGAAAATCCTTAGCCTATATAGATAGGATTGAATTTTGTTATATGGATAATGTTTGGTCCATTTTGGTATCGTAGAGACGGGGTCAAGGAGGAGGCTTGAAAGTTGGATCCCAAAACCCAAAGAAAAAGCTGTGAAAGCCCTCCTACTTGTCTTTGTACGGGCCACAACACTGATTTTGACATTAGTATACCATTTTAGAATAAACTTTTAAGAAAAATTGAGATTTTTGTTTTATTTATAAAGCAAAAAGTTTGCTTGGAAGACGTATGCAAAAGGGACGTGAAGATCCCCAACTTTGATTGTAAAACCGTTGTCACAAGAAACTCTGGTCGGCATATATTTAATTAATACTATGATGGGTCATCATGACATCGTCAACCATCATCCCAAATTTTTAAACTTCATATATTGGTGTTTGCTCTTCTTGATATGCCAAAGTAAACAACCTTAATTATTGACGATAATGAAGGTGTCATTGTGTGCCCCTCCCCTGTCTGTTTCGCATGCACTTGGCAATCATGTAAAGCTCCGTGTCCCACTTTCTAACCTCTCATATTTGTGGTATCACATCCTTATGTGCTTAGGGCATAAAAGAAAGTTGTGTTGATGTTAAATTGTTTATTTTTATAAGTGTATTTTTAGTTCATGTTCGTTTATACTTTTTAATATTATGTTCATATACATTTATTTATTTTAAATGTATTCGTGTTTGATTCGTTTAACGTTCATTAACATATTCATTTAATTCGTGTATATGTTTAGAAAAATGGTGAAATTAAGCTTTTGGGCTTCATACTTTGAACTTTAAATTTCACGTTGTATTCAATTTAATCCCTTCCTTAACAACATTTAAAACACGAAATAAGGGAGAATTGAATAAAATAATTAATAAATAAATTTATTCGTAAACATAAACGACCCTAACACTACATTGTTCTAGTTCATTCGTTTATTGAATAAATATAATAATTTCCTTCATACTCATTTATTAATTTAATAAACAAAAAATAATAATAAATGAAAGTTATACGAGCGATTTACTAACAATCCATTTAACAATTTGTTCATTTACATTCCGACTTGTACTCGTTATGTGTTCAATAGTTAAAGAGGTAAATATTGGCTTAAGTTTCCAAAAGAATCATACGCAAAATCCACAACTAGAAACCAATTTTAGTTCAACCCTATTTTCCTACAACCTTAGACTTACTCTTTGAGTATGCGACAGTAGTAGCAAATGCTCAGAAAAACCAGGCTCAGAATGTCTGCTTGTTTTTCTTGTACAGGAAGATAAAAATTTGGGTGGAGGCTCAGAATATTCGGATATTCGATCCCATTGTGAAAATAATTGTGGTTGAATCGGGTTCTATTCTAACATATTTCAACTTTTTCTTCAAATAATAGTTAATGCATGCCGAGCTCTATGTTCTTTTTCTTTTACCACTTTTCTGCTGCATGATAACTATTGGCAAAAAGAGAGACCCAAAGAGGGTTATTTATCTGATTGGCTAATCAGAAGACCAACTACTGATACACAGGCATGATGAAAATTTAAAAAAAAAGAAAGAAAGAAAAGAGTGCAACTGTGGAGTTGTTTTTAAGGTTTTCTTCTGAAATACGGAAAACTATTGCAACCACTGCTTTCTTCGTGGTCGTCCGTTTCATTGTTTGAGGCATGAGTGATCCCACTGGAGCAGGAGGAGGACGATGAAGATGCGAGATTTAAGCGGGTCCTCTCCTTGGTCAGGAAATCATAGAAAACAGGCCTCATTGTCCTTGCTTCACCTCCTCCCTTGTCGTTTTTAGTACCACCACCACTTCTTTTCTTCAAAAATATCCGGCACAACACCCAATTTCCCACTGCCACCGCATTGCAGTCTGCTGTCTCGGCGCTAAGGAGACGATACTCATGCATTATCCAGTCGGTTCTAGTTCCCTTCGGGGGGTTTCCTTTGTAAAAAACCAGGGTTTTCTTCATACCAACAACTCGGTTGCCCCTACAAATCACGATTTGTTTGTCGATTCCAGTTGCTTTCCAATAACCTGAAAGTGTGGCTCTATTGGATCTATTCCCATTCGGATACTTGGCTTCCCTGGTGCTGAAGAAGTACCTCTCTTGCTCCAAATCACCTGATAAAAAACAAAATTACACCCAATGTATCAGTTCATCAAGCAAAGCAACCCCTTTGATTTCTCCTAAAGGATTCTAATTTGGTTAGAAAATAACCAACCTGGCAATTCCCAAGGATCGGCTTTGCAAACATCAACTTCAGGAATGATGGAGGCAGGTAAAGGCCAAGCAAGCACCTTTCTTCTCAAGTACTGAACCACTAGCTCTTCGTCCGTGGGATGAAACCGGAACCCAGGAGGCAATCTTAGCACACCGTCCTTCACAAAATTAAGCTTCTCCATCTTCAAGCTGCGGTTAAAAATATGAAACTAAAAGAGAGAAGAATTGAGCCTTCAATCTTGGCGTACGACACTGCCTTCTTATACTAGTAATAGAGGATATCAGCAAGGGGGAACAAGAAAAAGGAGGAGGATATAAAAGGGAATGGAAAGTTGTAAATGTTATGAGAAAGAAAGAAAGAAAAAAATATAATTCATAATAAGCTTTGTACTAAGAGGACAGGACTTATAAGGTTGGGTTGAGGGGTCCTTGAAATTGACAATGCGCCGGAGATTCTTAACAAAAGAAGAAAGAAAGACGACGGTCCATTGACACTGGCATTTAATTAATTAATTTATAATAATCTTTGTACAAAGAGGACATGATTAAGAACTATGGACTATTTTTCCTTCTACTAATAAAATATTCTTTTATTATTATGATATTATATATGAAAGTAAACAGAATAATTTTGGTTGAATTAGGGAAGGGTAATAAGGTCAAAAACGGAAAGTGGGTGAGGGGTCCTACTAGCCGCCAAACGACAGGCACTGACGTCGGATTGAGGGAAATTGACAAAAGTGGCACCTTCAAAGTGACAAGTGAATAGTGATATCTTGTTTGGCTCACTATTTCGGATTAGATCGGATTTAAATTTTGAGGTAAATTATGTATTTAATCATTTGATTATTATTATGGTTTTATTTTAGTCATCCAATTATTATTATTTTTGATTAATTTGGAGTAAATACATATAGTATATGTTTAAAGATAACTCTAAATCATTTGATATTGAACTTTCATACACTTAGTATTCCTAGTGTTCGAATCCGAATGAATAAAAACAAATTTGATTATTTTTAAATTATCATTAACATTATATTTTGGTTTTGTTTTAAATACATACCTTTAAAAAATTAACAAAACCATCAACTAACATTTTTAAATTTTTTAATGATGATGTGTTTTTACTTTATGGTGATATATCAACATCACTATTAGTTTTTTAATAATAAATAATTAAAACGTAACATTAGTGATAGTTTTGAGAAAAAAATAATTAAATAACTAATGTGGAATGAAAATAATAGTTGAGTAACTAAATTCATAGTTTACCCAAAAGTTTAGGTCATGATCCCCATCTGTTCGTCTCCAAATGACAAACATACCCCTCTTAAAGGTGGGACAGAATACTGAGAAGAGTTGAGATTTAGTGAGAAGGGAGCCTTAAAAATTGACAAATGAAGAAGACTGGCCGATTCCGTGGAGAGAAGGGGAACTCCTTTTTCCCCACAATTTCATAGAATTACAAGGACTGAGTTAGAAATAAAATAAAATTGTTATTTTTTAATAAAGGGAGAATATTTTATTCGTGTTTCAGTTAATGGATTTAATTTAATACATATTATTATATAAAAAGGAAATACCCACAAGCAAATGCTCTCACACCCCACTTGAATAAATAAGTAGAAAGAAAAGATGGGTTTCGTGCACAAACTTTCCTTTTCTTTCTTCTTTTATTTGATTTTTGTTGAGAGTCAAAGGACTTTGCGTGTGGGTGTTGATGAGGAGCAATACACAAACGTCAAAGGCTTCAATTATTATGTTTTTGAGTAAAATATGCTGTTCAGTGGAAATTTTCCCCTTTTCCCATTTTTATTTTAAAAATCCATAGTGGGAAATGTCATTATTAATCTCTCCCCCTCTAAATAAAGTAATCCCAAATTGGTTGCTTTGATATTATGATATTAATGAATAAACGATGAGTGGTTCAATACCTTTATGTCAATCATCTATATATAATGACATTTCTTTTGCATAGCCACATCTTCAAAAATAATGTTTGTAATAATAATTTTTATTTATTTTTGAACAATATTTTGCTTAAAATATATTCCCCTTTTCCTTCCTTTGTGCACATAATCTTGATAATGACATTTTTGGATGAAGAACCTTTTGGTAAATGTGGAGTTCTGACTTGCCCTAATTAGGATTAAGAAGAATGCAAGTCAAATCACCCTGTGTTACATACAGCTGGAGCTCATCTAGTTGAAGGTCTTTGATTTAATGCCGTTCTGATGAAAGTACCCTATTACCCTTGTTTGACACATTTTAGGCCAATCGGTTGGGGGAGATGCACCCCGGGAGACTAAATAGTGTTACCCTTTGGTTCCTGGATAAAACAACTAATGCTTTCACGAGATGTCACCAACTTTTTCATTGGATTGGTCCGTCCTTTGCTACTTACCCTAACTTTATAAACATGAATTTATCCAGTGATATCAATTGATGTATAGAATATGTATATATTATAAATTAATTAAAAAAACTCTGAAAAAAATATTATTTTACAATTATCTCAAATTATCTAAAAAAATTACTCCCACACATAGTAATATAGGCATATTGACACAATTATTCCCATAATATTTGCACAAATGATCATTTTATTTTATATTATTTTTTAAAATATTTACTTAAGCGCTTTATTTTTTGTTAAAATAGCTCAGGTTGGGTGGATATCGTCAGTTGACTAACGATCAGTACATGTTATTGACGCGATATTTCTAAAAATGTTCGATTATTGATGTGACACATATTATATCATCACTTTAAGTAGTGTTGTACATACCAAATCGATATTTTGAGTGACATGACACATGCCACATCTGTAATTGATTACATGTGAAAATTTTATGTTAGTAAAATGTGTTGATCATTTGTCAATTAATAATTTTTATTCAATAAGGTCTGCTTTGATAAAAATTAAAACGTTTGAAGTGTAAAATACTCTAAAAAATTTATAAATTGCTCAATTATACAAATGTTAGGGGATAATTGTGTAATTATGCTCATAACATACTTATCTTTTGGGAAAGTCATCACAAAATTAAGAAAAAAATGAGTGTTACAAGGTTTTTTTTTTTAATTAGAGGCGTACAAATTCATATATTAAATTTGGCCCGACATAAAAATTTGAATATCCAAAATTTTTAGATATTTAAATTGATGATTTGTATTTGATATGAAAAAATTAGATATTTGAATTTTCAGATCGGATATTCAAATATTTGGATCTGAATATAAAATTTATTTTGACAAAAATATTAATTTTATATTTTGTGACTTAATGTAATTTTTTCGATGTACATGCTATATTATATATATATATATATGTAATTACTCACTTATAATAAATAATTAAATGTCCTAATTTTTACTGGGCTTGAGCTTTGAAGAGTTGGTGGGTTACTTATTTATTAGATTAAAGACTGTCTAAAACCTAAAAGTTCAATTTTTTTATCAAATTTTTGAATAATCCAAAACTATAATATATATGATTCGATTATTCGGAACTTTTTCAAGTATCTTATCCGAATTATCTAAAAATAAAAAAAAATGGATTGAATATCTGGATTTTCAAATCGGATCAATGAATCGAATCTTTATACACACCCCTAATTTTAACCGAATAAACCTATAAAATTAAATTAATTAAATTAGTTGGCTTCGATTTAATCAGGTAAATCAATTTAGTGATTTGAAAGTTCAGTTATTTTATATTTTTAGATTCTGAAATTTCATATCTAACCTATTGATGTAATGATAAAAAAATACAATCTTCAAAATTAATATAAGGTTTTCACGTTTGTACTCAAATTGAAAAAATTATAAAATTCAAATGAAATTATTATTTTCAAAAAAGAAAAAAATATTTTCCACATGAGAATAACAAGACATTAACGGGTTCTACGCCAACTTGATTTATATGATGAGAAATAGAAAGGAAAGCATAATTGCTTGCGTTGAGGGGTCTTTGAAATTGACAATTATAACAAAAGTGGAAAGACTAAGGTCCATTGACATTGTTATTTTTTTATTTATTCAGTAATAAGCTTTGTACTTAGAGGACAGGACTGGGACTAAGAACTATGGACTATTTCTTTCTACTACTGAAATATTCTTCTATTATATATATATATATAAAGTAAACTTAAATGATGGGGAGAAAAAATAATAAATTTGGTTGAATTAGGGGAGGGTAATAAGGTCAACACGAGAAGTGGGGGAGGGAATAAAGGGTAAGGGGGGCCTACTTGCCTCCAAAACGACGGGCACTCACGTCGGATTGGGGGTAAGTGACGAAAGTGGCACATTCAAATTGATGAGTGATGCCCCATTTCAAAGATTTCTCAAATCTAGTTTCCCATTATATCTTAATTAAATTAGGGTAAATTACATTGTCCCTAACTGAACTATACTCTCTCCAATTTTCCTCATCCAACTTTTAAATTTTCTAATTTGCTCATTGAACTTTACAAATTAAATTATTTTGCTCACTCCCCTGTTATGTCACTGCCTGCCACTGTCGACTGTTGTAGATGGTGTTCGTTCGATCTTAAATTTCATGAGTCACTTCACCTCAACACCTTGAGTCCGAATCCGACTCCATTTTATCAGAACTTGCTCCGAAGTCAACGAATTTGAGATTGAAAGTGAGGAAGGTGAAAAGTTTCAATCCATATTCATAGATTTTGGGACATTTTCTGGTGAAACAACCATCGGATTTAGACTCAGGGGTTCGAGATGAACCGACCCATTAAATTTGGGACCGAACGACCACCATCAACGACTTTGGACGGTAGCCGAAATGAAAATTATGTGGTGGCTGACAGCGGCAACTGGTTGCAAAGTAGAGAGAAAATGAGGGGAAAGAAAAAGAAAAAAAATAAAGAAATGAAGAAGAAAAAAAGGATTTTATAATGGATTCGAAACGACATCATTTTGGTGTATATTTGAGTTTTTTTAAAACGACATCGTTTTGATGCTTATGTCATTTCTTGCGCCATGTTCTAACGTCGTTAAATAGTTAATGACAGAGCGAGTGAAATGATTTAATTTGTAAAGTTCAATGAGCAAATTAGAAAATTTGAAAGTTGGGTGAGGAAAATAGGAGAGAGAGTATAATTCAGTGAGAAAAGATGTAATTTACCGTTTAAATTAAGACTGAATGCATGCTAGTGGAAGTGAGATTAATATTTTTAGGGAGACATCATCTCATACCCAAATCACAAACATACCCCTCTTAAAGCTTTCAAACTAAAATCCAATGTAGTCGTTTAATTATTATTTTTATTACATGCATTATTTGGCATCAAATTCATTCGGTTGACTAATCTATTGTTTACTTTTAAAATGCAGATTATAGAACAAAAGATTTAAAAGCTTCAAGCACTCAATTACGTATATACTATAAGATAAATTATCTATTTAATCACTTGATTATTTATGTTCATCATCATTACTAATATTAGAAATGACCATCCAGCTCAGTTGGTAGAGCACAAGGTTCTTAACCTTGAGGTCGTGGGATCGAGTCCCACGGAGGACATTTCATAATTCGGAGGTCTCTTACGGAAGCTGCTCTCAACCTGGTGTTGGGGGTAGCCTACTATCTTACCTCTCCCTTATCCCATTCATATGGAAAAAAGGGACAGCCATTTTATCATTGCCAACATTTATATAACATTCAGAAGGAGATGGATCAAATTCCATCATTTCCATCTCTTTTGCAAACTATAGACTATAATTTTCTCCTATTTATTAAAGAAAGAAATTATTATATTTTTAAAACTCATCAAGTGATCTTAATAGTAAAATAAAATATTGATCTTTCTAGAGATTTTAGGTTCGACTTTAGAGCAGCAATGTCTACCACGTGTGCGTATTGTCAATAGGTTACGAGAATTCCGAATATATATTATCTTATAATCAACTTAAAATATTCAAAAAAAATCTTACGATATTATAAGATTTAAGTAATTATACCATCGATATGTATATCATGATGAAATTTATTCTTTATGTGGATGAATACATTAATTGTACAATCATCCATGTAACTATATTATTTATTTGAAAAAATTGAAAGAAAATAATTGAAGTAATGAGATAATGTGAGGGTAGTTAAGGGACAACAAGGGGTAACGGTGGGACAGTTGAGATTTAGTGAAACCGGTGCCTCAAAATTTGACAAATGTAGAAGACTTTCCGATTCCGTAGAGAGAAGGGAACCTTGTTTTCCCCACAATTATAAGGACTGAATTAGAATTAGAATTAGAATTAGAATTAGAATTAGAATTAAAATAAAATCAAAACGATAAGTTTAATGAATTTTGGTGCTGATAAAAAGAATGCTCACAAGCAAATGCTTTCATACCCCCACACTTTTTTTAATTAATCATTAGTATCTGATCTATTGACTGACTTATTTAGATAGGATATTGCAGAGGTGAGGACGACCCTTCCAGCCCAATTTACTCTATTCATAAATACCAAGATTCGAACATTTAACTTTATTTAAGAGACTTAGGGCCTCGTTCCACTAGATCACACCCCATTAGAATAGATATTAAATGGAAACAAAAGCTGGGTTTCGTGCATAAACTTCCCTTTTCTTTCCTTCTTTGCCTTATTTTATTTTAATTTTGTGTTGAGTCAAAGGAGTTTGCGTGTGGGTGTTGATGAGGAGTAATACACAAACCTCAAAAGGCTTCAATTATTAAGTTTCTGAGTCAAATATATTGTTCAGTGAAAATTCTGTCTTTTCCCTTTCTTTTTTTTTTTTTTAATTTTAAAAAAGACTCAAAGTGGAAAATGTCATTACTCATCTCTAAATAAATTAATCCCAAATGGGTAGCCTTAACATAAATGAACAAATAAAAATACCCTTTATGTCAATCATTTATGTATAATGCCATTTCTTTTGTAAAGGATGACCATCATTTGACATTAACCATATAAAGTGAAAAGTAAAGGTAGTGCTCTCGTTTATCTTCATGAATTAATTCCTTAAGTAAAACACTTTTTTTTTGTATATATAATATAAATGTACAAATGGTGGACTATGGTAGGACCTAAGTCGCTCCCAAATCTTTTTCAACAACTTAATATGTTAAATTAATCTCCCGACATAAATTTTGTAAGGGTAAACTATATGGATGATGAGTTTTATTTTCAGTCCGATTTTAGTTTTAAAAAATGATTTTGATTCTTTACGTTATAGATCCGTTTAATTTTAAAAAATAGTTGAAAATAAATATTTATTAATTATAGTTCTTTTAATATAAATATAGGGAATATAAAGTATCTATTTAAAGATTAAATCCTTTGACAATAAACACTCAAACTTTTGCATACGTAGATTCCGAACCTGAAACCTTAAGGAATAACACAAATCCTTTAACAATGAGATTGTTTGGTTCGTGCATTTATTAATTATAATTAAAAGATGCGAGACAATAATTTAGTCATCATTAATGGTTATCTTTATATTTTTACACTAGCCGAATATGATATCTTAAATAAAATGTATACAGATTTAACATAGTAATTAGTCCTTTGAACTAAATGTCAAGATCTTTCACTACATATAAACCCATAAAAATGAAGTCATCGGTTGTTCCGACGATAGAATAATACCATACGTACAAGTATGCAAAGCATGAAACAAGTACTTGAGGAAATATGTAAAAGAAAAGTAATTGAATTTCTAGAAAACAGAGTGAAACGACATGAGAAAAAATCATGCTACCCTTTTAAGGACATACACACAAGTATGCACAATATCGGTTTCACCGAAGCTTTAAGACGGATACGTATTTATTTTAAAATCTAAATTTTTTAGGTAATTATTTATTTAGTCAGTTTATATTCACTCTAAAATTTTATTTGTACTTATCTCTTACAAAAGGTTTATGTTATTAATATATATATATGTATTAATTCTAAGAATTATTTCTAAATCCGTTATTATGCCATTATATATATGCATGCATGCATACATACAAATTGAGTCTTTTAAGTCTAAACGTTTCCAACTTTACTACGTAAGTTGTTGAGTTAGTCGACGCTTGATAGTAATGTTTGTGAATTAGGGTTCCACTGAATTGCGTATCTGCCGGGTGCAACCCAGCAAGTTGGCATCCAAATTGGAAGGCGGACAATTTTTGGAGTATTATCTTTTCCTAATATTTGGAGATGTTTGAATTTTAATTTTCATCCCAACACAACAAGCTTTTAATGTATGTTCCATGAGGAATGGGTTCATTAAAATTTGATCAATTTTAGAATTTAATCATTTTGTTTTCGTATATTTTGGAGTATAATCGTTTCATGTTTAAATGGTTTTAAATTTGATAATTATTTAATTTTATCAAGTTTAGGTATTATATTGCTTTGAATATTTTAGATTTAAATGATCAAAAAGTTTTAAAAACCCAAAAATAATATCTTTTAATTTCAAAATAATATAAATTTTCAGAAGTTGTATTAAATTTATTTTTAAAGATTTTTTTTATTTTTCTTAAAAATTTTCAATTGTATTTGATAATTATAATTAAATAAGATTTATGTATTTTGTTTTTGTTTTGGGTAAGAACAGTTCTTAAGCTTTTATTGGGCCGATAGCGTTTATAGTAGTACTCATAATTAAATGACCATTTGTTTTTGGGTTAAATTATGGTTTTGGTCCTTTACAACGTTCAAATTAGGAATTTAGTGTCTATACTTTGATTAACTTAATTGGTTTTTAAAATGTGATCAATTAGCTTGGATAATCATAAAAGCAAAGGGCCCTAAAGATTCATCACATAGGAACACAATGCACAACACAGCTCGCGATTAAATCAAGGCTGGATCATCAGCTCTGGTATTAGCTTCATTAGAAAGGAGAGTTCTTCAATCGAAAATTGTGGTTTCGCTTTCGCTTCCATCTTCCCGTCCTCTCCATACGAGCTCTTCTCTTCCTCCTCCTTCACTCGGGTTACATCCGATACCGACTTGCTAATCTCCTTAACCAGGTCGACGATAACTCCGTCGAATCCCATTAGATAATATTGCATGTACACAACCTCCGGGACGTTACTGCAAGAGAATGCATTCATGAGGCAAATGTAATTCCAATGCTTAGAAACGGGAACAAAATGCTTTGAGAATTGTATAACATACTTCAATTGACCATAGGTTATGAGGGAAAGTTTTAATTCTTTGATTCTTGCAACTGCTCCGGGATTTCTGAATACGGCTTTGACTTCGGATACGATCCCTTGCAAGCCATTATCGACGCAGAGCTTAATAGCCTCATCCAATGAATTCCGCACGTCGGCGTAAATTTCAGTTCCTCCATTGGTAAGGAAGTATACCTGTTCACAGCACAGGTCAATGACCTTTGGAACAACATAACATTAACATGCAGATATTGGAGAAAGAAGCCTCAATTACCGGATATGCGCTCTGCAATTTTCTAATCAACCGGACAGCGTCCGGTTGAAAGCTCGAGAACATGACTGCTCTGCCCTCTGCATTCTCGAACACCACCTGCTTACGAAATTTAAAAGCCGATTTAGTTAGTTAAATGATCATAATGTAACAAGCATATTACCTTCAAGATAGCTTTTAGTATACGTGGGAGTTGTCCTTCCGTATAATCGACAAGATCATCGAACTTCAATTCGACATTAAAGCCTACCGATCGATCCACATTCTGGAAAGCCCCTTCGAGTGTACACAGAGGAGCATCTTTATCAACCTTCCACTCGAAGATCCTTCCGTCTTTTAGTTTCCTCAAAATCGGTTTTCCCTCCTGAATTGATCAAAAGACAAAAGGATTGTTAACACAAAACTGTCATCCTACAACATAGTCCAGTTCAAAGAGAAAGATTATAGATTATTACAGTTCCAGGGAATTTCTGAGGTCCATAGGAGAGGAATTCAGCCAAAGTAAGTTCTGTAACTCTGTTCTCAACAATGGCACCCTGAAATTGTCAAATTGAAACCCAGAAATGTTTAGTAACAAAAACAATGGATCAAGTTGTCATGGTAAATGACTGGATAATCATCTTTCGTCACGTACAACAAATATATATATATTTGGGGTTTTTGTTTACAAGATCCGTCCAAAAGGTTCTTCATCCATATTGAACAAAAATTTAAAAGTGGAGTATTCCCGTTACTAGAGGACAAGTGGAGAATCACGGTCGTTTACATTTGTCGTTTTGTTTTCTTAATTTGTACAATTGATTTCTTTTGTTCTATTTTAGGTCATCAGTTAGAGTATTACTTAAATTTAGATTCAATTGTTTTTAATTGTTTAAATGTTAAAATTATAGTTGAAAGTTATATCTTAAGAAGCTGTTCAAAAGCTCTACAATTTTAAAGGTAAAGTACATAAATGGTTCATCCACGACTTTTGTTGAGTTTCTCAACTATTAAAAGTTATAAAATGGTCTCCTATCTATAGGACGACGTTTTGTTTAGTCATCGTATTATTAAAAGTTACAAAATGATTATATGATTATTTATACGTTTCAAACTCATCATTTTCTATTAAAAAATTAGCGGTTGTCTGAGCTGGACGCTAACCTGATGATTGAGATATGATAAAATCTGATTTCAGAACCGTTTGAGTTGTACTTTGTGGATTAACTCTCTATTTATATTATATCATTAAGTCAGTGCTTGAAACATTAGTCAGCAATTGTGGTGTCAGTAAACATCATTTAAAAATGATTTTATCATATCTCAATCAATATGTCAACGTCCAACTAAGACGATTGTCAAATTTTTAACGAAAAAAGTCAAGCTTGAAATATATGAATAATTGAATAACCATTTTGTAACTTCTAATAGTTATGAGACTAAACAAAACAACGTTATATAATTATGAGATTATTTTATAAGTTTTAATGAACGAAAAACTCAATATGAAAACCCTATAATCAAATAACCATTTCTGCACTTTACCTTAATTTTTGTTTAATTTTTAATGATGTTCTAAATGAATTATTGTTTTTTGGGTCAATTACAAATTTAATAAATGAACTTTATTCTCTCTCCTATTTTACACATTATACTTTAAATCTTTTCAATTTAATTACTTTAACTTTATACATTGTATTTTTGTTGTCATGTTAATTTTCTAACCACGTCATGAGTGGCTCAATTAAATGATTTTTTATTCGTGAAAACGACCAGCTTCCATTTTGAGAGCAAGTGGTGGCTTCTTCTTTCAGCTGCAACGGAAATCATGGGTTCAAGGTGGTTTGGTGGTGGCCTTGGCAACACTGGGTAGCTTTGCGTTTCTGAAATGGGTGTTGAAAAGCATGAATCCGTGGGTGTATGAATCCCGGTTGGGAGATTTGCAGTACTCTCCGTCGCCGTATGATTTGGGTTGACCTATCATCGACAACATGTGATTGTGTTTCCGAGCTTTCCGGTCCGACGAATCCGATTCCTTCATGTGTTCCTTCGTTTCCAGGTACTTTTCATTACGCTTTTTAAAAAATGATTTAAACTTTGCTCAGTACAAAGAATGGAAATATTGCAGGTCAAAAGAGACAGAGCCTTGCGAGAATAGGTGTTGGAGGAAACATATGAAAACATGCATAGAAGTTTTGGTTCTGGATATCCAGGAGGTTGGAAGGGCTTGATATTATCTTATTTCATATTATATATATATATATCCTATTAGCAAAGGTGATTAAACAAGGAATCTGATTATCTTTGATTTGTCTAGGTCCTAAAACAAAAGCTTTGATTAAACAAGGAATCTGGTCATCTTTGATTTGTCTAGATCCTAAAACAAAAGCTTGGTTGCACATCACAAAGACATGATGAGAAATTCGAAGTAAATCTAACAGAGAAAGAAAGAGGAGTTAGTTCCAGGCTTTAGTCTTCTGTCTTCCACAACCTAAAACCAAACCAACTACTAATAATTTATTCCTAACACAAAACCTAATTTCAAGAGGCACACGAACCAGCTGCTCTTGAAATAGATGAAGTTGAGAAAGAAGAACAAGAAGCAACTGAGATTGAGAGTGAGGTAAATTCATTTGCAGCTTATTTCTTTGAACATGAAAAAACAAGGAGAGGAAGAGGGAGAGTTGACTTTCAACCTAAAGATAGAGGTATTAAAAAGTAATTGATTTTAATATTAAAATAAACCACGTAATCAAACTGTAACAGAGAAAATAATTGAGGGACTAAAAAATCAATGTATAAAATTCAGTTATTAAATTGAATTTTTTTAAAATATAATGATTAAATAAATTAGTCTAGACATACAATATTTAGGGATGGGGATAGGAATTAAACACAACGAGTTGTGATCCTACCGGATTTTATTAGGTCTATTAAAAAAAAAAACCAAGTTCAGGTTTGGGTCGGCTTGGGATTTTAGGGGATAAGTTTGAGTTTATGATAAAAAATAATCGACTCGACATGAAGATAATGTAATTATACCTTATATATTTAGGGATAATTATAATAATATTATCCTATATATTATTTATTTCAATTAGATCAACATTATATCGAATAAAATTAATATTTTTTATAAATATATTTGTTGAGTTAAGTCAAATTGATTTTGAATTTTATTTCTAAAGATGGGTTGGGTTTCGGATAAGATAAAGTCACTTCAAGCTTGAATCAGATCAAGTTTTGGATGAACGGTATATATATTTTTGGGTTAGATTAGGTTGACGAGAAAACCATCGCTACATACGACCCGATCCATGGAAGAAAAAACCTCTCCTAAAGTGGTGAAAGGAAATCATGGTTGATTTATAATAATTAACACATGAATGCGATAGTATAGAATTAAATAATTTTAATTAGAAATATATGAAAATAAATAAAAGAAATTAAGACATGAATTAATTCAACCAATGATTTAATTCAAAATCAACCAACACCATTCGATTGATAGCTCTAGTTGAATGCAATAATGTTGTTTGCTTACGGACAATTTATTAAATGTCTTTGACTTGGATCATTGAGCCACTGGTTCATTTCTGGAACGTCGTAGGCTTCATCCCGGAGATGTTGCAATTTACAGAAGCTGTAAAACAAATGAACAATGGTGTAAAAAAGCTTGGAAGATTCCAGTGACTTCCACTCCAATGAATGTGAAGCCAGGTTTAGCCTCCGGAGATAAACAGGTGGCCGGTCCTAAACAAAGCATGACCGCACATTTGTGCTTCGCTCCATGTTTCCCTGAAGATCTTGAGAATTATTTGATGATGGAGCTGCAATGCAATGCAAAGTGAGGGGAAATTTTCCAATTATTGGGATCAAGAAAATGCTTTGTGGCTCCTACTGGTTTAGGATCCATATTGTTCCATTACGGAACTTGAGACGTGTATGAGAAATAATTTGTTGGCAGACCCCAAACATTTGTTACCGTGATCATGGACACGTTCAAGTTTGGGGTCGGATTTGATATGTGAGTTCATCCATTTATGTGGCAGTAAATGAGGTAAAAGGGAGATAGTTATTTGACAAAAAAGGGGGTAAAAGTAGGTACCAAATTATTTGGCCATTTGTGATAAAAACTAAAGAGAGATTGTAGTGGCAGCAAATGATGATGATCCCTTTAATCCCCTTTTGGGTTTGCAATGGCATTGTTATGCTCAATGGAGCTCCATTGTCACAACTCGAATCAAATTTGGTCTCATCGAGCAAAGTTTCAGTGTAATGCACTTCGCCTTCATCGCCATTATTTGGTGTCTCCAACCCTTCACCTTAACCAACTTCTCCATCAACCCATTTCCCCTAATCTCTTCTTCTCTTTCCATGTTGTTTCCTTTTGGGAGCTTGGAGTCGTCTTCCATGGAGCTTTTTGCAAGATTAGCTGACGAGAAAACACAAATAACTGAAAAATATTTGATTTGGGGCGGCAAGGATTTTACTGTCGGAGATAGCTAATTCAACCATCGAATGGGATGATCTGGGTTACGATAAGGAGCCATATGAGTTCTAAATTGATAAAGAACAAGCCATCTACAACCTCAATAAAGTTGTGAAGACAAAGAAGAAAAGATAAAATGCAGTTATGAACATTCAACCAGAATATGCTTTGGGTTCATATGATTCATATGCAAAAACAAAAAATGATTATAGAACTTAATTTTTTAATTTTCAGTTTAATGGCTCTCACCGACGATAACTTCGACGACGACGTCATTAATACATAATGCTTCTTTTTGGTTTCCATAACACAGTCTTTCGTCAACAACTGCGGGCTTCCAAGACATGCTTTTCAGTTGCTCCCACCGACGATGCAATTGACGTGCGAACGAATGAGACCAGGGAAGGTATTCAGCTTGCAAATGATGGCTTGTTTAACGTTGAAAAATGGGGTGGAACAATTGAGTCTAGAACCAAAAGGGATTGGAAGAGGATTAGGGGTTGGGATTTAGGTATTTTAGATATTTTAAATTAAATATTAATTAATTTTTCACAACATAATAAATATAATAATAAAATAATCCACATCATGAGAGAGTACTAAAATAAGAACAATTTGAAAGTTAAATGATTAAATTTAAACTTTTTAAATTTTAATAATCAAAATAGGAGTGAAAAGATAGTTCAATGATGAACGATGGCAAACTGAGAAGAAGGCCAGCTTTAGCTAGAGTTTGCAGAAGCTAATGGATTTGAGAGGTGAAGCTCATGGTCTCTATGCTTCAACTCCAAGTCTCCAAGGTATCAATGTCCACTAGATTTGGAACTCTGTCCGACCGGAGGGGACTAAAGATGGATGGCATAAGACTTTGTTATTTCTCTTACACATTCCCAAGCACTCCATCACCTGATGGATGACAATCTTTGGAAGACTTTCCAATATAAATGATGACATTTATATGAAGAAAATTATAAAATTATTATGGAAATATGCTAAGTAATTTACTTGCCAATAAAAGGTCTTAAAATTCATGTTTCAATGAACTGAGAAAATTTAAGAAAATTTAAATTTAAATTTTCCATCTTTTTAAAGAAAATTTAAATTTAAATTTTCATTTTATTTAAATAAATTTTCATTTTCTATTAATAATCTTCATTTTTAAAAAAAATCATTAATTTTATTCAAAATAGGAAATGTTTCCTCAATTACAATAAACATTTATAATCATAATCGTAAATTAAGCACAAAGTTAGGACAATTTTCTATAATCATTGAAATAAAACTAGCAACTTAAAGATCACATAAGGATCGTACAAAAAAAGATTAAAATCTAACCAAGAAAATTCGAACAAAGATAGATAAAAACAAATCTGATCATATCGGTAAACGAATAACAAAAGGGGATCAAACTACTAAAAGACTACTGACAAACCGCAAATCAAAATCGAGCGATGTAAAAAGCTATCCAAGAACGTATAGTGGGTATCCAAATCCAATTCGGGGTCCAAAGCAAGGAAGATCAACAATATATCAGATAAACGTCATATTGATCAGTGTGATGATGTCTAATCAACCATTAGAAAAAGATAAATAAAAACAACGACCAAACGATTAAAAAACGTGTTAAAAGGAAAAAAGTATCATAAAGGTAGAGGAAAACGTGTCATACAGACAGACTTATTAAAAATAAAAAATAAGAGAAAATAAAAGGACAATAAAAAAATATGGACGTTCGACAACCAACATTAAAGTTGGTGTCATCGCCGATCAACAAAGATAAAAGAAAAAGAGATAAAGTTTACCAATAAAAAAAAATTACGAGAGAAAATTGAGAGAGAAGAATATTTTTTTTAATCTACCTTATTCTTTAAAATTTAATAAAATCGTCAACTAATATAAAATTTTATACCTACCCCTTCAAAGGCGATAAAAGAAGAGCGAAGAAGATAAATTTATGTACCATCTTTGTGCACTTTCATCGTTATATTATTACTAGATCTTTGATTGGATTAATATAATGGATTAAGGGAAATTCATGATTGGGGAAGTAAAAATCTAACAAAAATAGTTGTTAAGAGGAAGCTTTCATCCCGTCTAGTTTTAATAGAAATGCTTGCAGTTCATGAAAACTAACGTTTCCTTAAATCTGCCATTAATTCATGTAAAGTAAAAGAATAAAGTTTTGAGATGCAATCATTACCGAACCGGGAAAATAAATGATGTGATGATGAGTTGAGGGACGGAAACTGCCATTTCCAGAAATCAAAGCTCATAACCAAAGTCGAGATATTGAGTTCGAGCACCATGAATGTTAGTGTATGAACGTTCAATGTCAAAT